TTAGTGTTTAATCTAATCGCACTAATACGGCGCACATAAATATGTACTTCGGTCTCTGCTGGCTGCAATAAAAGCAAACGTGTAATATATTTAATATGGGGATCTTACATAACTGCCACCCAAAGAACTTCAAGTTCAGAGATCCAGAGCCCGAAATATTATTAATTCATGCATCTGTGAATGGCAAGAAGATTTTGCATCCTGTTTAATATTATTATTTAAAGTATCAATGTTTGATTAGGAATTTCCGGCATATCAGCATACGTTTGCGAAAATGCCGTTAGGGAAATGTCATGAAATAAATTAGCATCATCACTCCCCGAAGCGAGTTCCAAAATGATGATTCACTTGCTCCGAATTCGGTTATCATAACGGCGTACAAGCCAAAAAACTGTTGACACATCTCTGGTTAAGTTTGGGTTTTGGTAATAAAATGGGATTCACATTTGAAAGTACTCAAATACGTCCGTTAATGTTATTGTTCTTACTTTCATTAAAATAAGTAATATGGTTCATTTATTTCAAAATTTCAAAAAGTTACATTTGCTAAAAAACGATACCAGGGCTGCGCTCTATATGTTGGTTTGAGTCTACGGTGGATAAGCGCTATATCCAGCAGTGTGACCATACGGTTGCGATTCAAATGCGGGACATTTAAAAATATTTAACGATATATTAGGTATGAGTTTCTTTTTATAGAAACAATTTTAACGTTTGTTAATTGCTTTTAAGACCTTTAAGTGCGAAGTGATTGAAATAATACACTCAGATATAAATTCTGCTCTCATTTCTTATTTTGACACACACGCAAATATATATGTATTTCGTAATAAAACCATATATTAAACTTATGGAAAACTCATAACATATTTTGAATTGTAAGTGAAATATTGTTCGTAAGTTGCGAACGATATATCGACGTTGAATAGCACAAACTATCGTCGCTGGGATTCCGGCTCTGCTGCGCGGCGGTCACACTAAAACAACCGCTGGTATTTCGTAACGCTCAGCAACGGTCACTCTGCCATCCTTCTTTTTATTTCCGCCGTTTGCCGAGAAAGTTGGAAAATCATGGGTGAGTTGCTGAAAAGCGTAGTTTTTGTGCGAATTAAGCGTAAAGCGCAGCCAAACAGTGAACAAACGGAGCTTACAATGCGGCGCGGCTGAAAGAGTAAGTGAATTGACGCCAAAAGTGCGAAAATACTGTCAAATGCAAACAAGTCGGAAACTTGCGATTTTAGCTGGCCGAAAATCACATAAAATCAAGTGAATCTTTGATTCTAGCGAGCAAATATCTCGTTTTACATGCAAAAGCAATCGAAGTGCACAATGCACTATAGTTATTTGTGTGAAAAACACATTTGGCAGTGTTTCCGAGCCCGGACTCTCTCTAACCTCAAAACCGAAGCCGCACAAGCTGCCATTTGTTTACATTGTGTTGTTGCACCGCAGATGCAGATTAACTATAGCTAACGTATTTCTTTGATCTATAACAGGCAAGCCAAGAGGTCTGCGCACTGCCAGAAAGCATGTGAACCACCGTCGTGACCAGCGTTGGGCCGACAAGGACTACAAGAAGGCTCATTTGGGCACCAGATGGAAGGCCAATCCCTTCGGAGGTGCTTCCCACGCCAAGGGAATCGTCCTGGAGAAGGTGTAAGTACAGATGGTTGACCCCTTCCTCCCCACCAAAGTGCTTTGCCCGCCGTCCGGATGATATGGGGGGAATCACACGTCTCGACGCCTCGCAGTATATTTTTGTGTTTTGTTTCGTTTTGCAAATCAAATCACAGGATTATACTGTGAGATGACCAGCGTGCCGCCAGCAGCAGAAAGTGACTGACCAGATTTGTATTATATCGATCTGCTAGTATTATATGAAACTAATCTGTTTCTCTACAGCGGCGTCGAGGCCAAACAGCCCAACTCTGCCATCCGCAAGTGCGTGAGGGTGCAGCTCATCAAGAACGGCAAGAAGATCACCGCCTTCGTGCCCCGTGACGGTAGCTTGAACTACATTGAGGAGAACGACGAGGTCCTGGTCGCCGGTTTCGGTCGTAAGGGTCATGCCGTCGGTGATATTCCCGGTGTGCGCTTCAAGGTTGTCAAGGTCGCCAACGTCTCCCTGTTGGCCCTCTACAAGGAGAAGAAGGAACGCCCAAGATCTTAGATGAACATGCATCTAATCTTTTTCCAGACAAGCAGAGTTAGGGTTTTACAAATCTAAATAAACAAAAAAAGAAACAAACCTGTTAAATGTTTCAATTAAATGTGATTTTCTTGACTATATGTGTATGGTTCGCATGTTTGTGTTTACTGAATGACAGAATGGTGATTACCAGCTAAATTGTTTTATAAATGTGAAGAACTAATAAGTAAATTGAAAGTTAGCCGTTTCGAATTATTTCCGTAATTAATTCTGTTCATTTTCAGTTTGCGATATCTTACAATTTTCAAAATGTCTATCCGGATATCAAAGTAATATAGAATTGGTGGTTAGTTTTAAAGTCAATGCAAAGTCGTGTACAAGTTTTATGTAAATTTAGCAAATTAAGAAATAAACATTTTTTTATTAGTTTTTAAACTGTCTGGCAACCATGTTAGTGCTGCAAAGCGAAAATACTAAAGTGCTTTCCAACACGCCTAGCCGCGAAAATTCAAAATCTTAAAGTTGCATAAACAAAATCAGGACTTGCATGTAGTTTCAGTTTAGAAAACTATGCATTCTACTAATAACTTAATTGTCAACCCAACTTTGGCATCCAAATTGTGCAATGCAAGAGCACTCCCTCGATGCAAACAGTTCGATCTCCAGGCGGTCGTACCTACCGCAGTTGCTTTTGCCAAGTATTTCTTACATAACAGAACGGCAAGAGCCGCGGAAACAGACAGCCATCATCAAAGCATGGGGCCCGGACCTGGACCACAGCAACGTGTGCCGGGCTTCATCAGCGATAAGGAGTCGCAAACTGCACCTCCTACTTGGCGGTGCACAGCGAGAAATCGGAGCATTTCGAAGCGATCTCGATGTCGAGGGCGGTTGGCCGATTTCTTACAGTGCCTCGGTTCGATCTGCTTATCAATAATTTGTTTTTCTCCTTTTGCCGCATTTAGGCAGAGATTCGCTGGCGATAGCCGCTCAAGTGTCACACGCCCACATTTTTGGAGCATTCGATGTCGATGGAGCGGCTATTTGCACATACGCCACGCCAATAAACTTGTACCCACCACCGAGGCACGCTTTGATCCGATCCTCGTTCGCAATCTTTACCTCCATTCCCGTTCTCTCGGCCTTTAGTCTTTGGTCTTTGGGGTTTAGACTTCAGTGCTAAGTCGCCAGTCGCCAGTCTTCAGACTTCAGTCTTCTCGATCGGCACACGCTTGCGCTGCAGATTCTCCCCCCTTTTGGGCTTTTCTTTCTTTTGGTCTGACCGATGCTCCGATGGTTGGAGGAACCTTTTGGCCGCTGCCCGGCCCCCCTGCACATACATAAATCCACGAATCCACGACCACGAATCCGCGAAGAAGACTTGGCCCTCGCATCGCCGGCGGCAATTATCGCGATGTGATAAACAAATATTTTGCATCTATGGCAAGAAGAAGCGAAGGCTTTCCCGGCATTCTGGCGCTTAATTATGAACTCCGGCTCGGTTCGGGATGGGGGTACCCCCATCCGAGTATGAGTTTATTATTATTAAATGCCCTGCGCGTGGCCGCATGCACTTTTACCTGCCAACGTACTTGACTCGTCTTCTGGGAGGTTCGTCGCTTTTTACCTCCTCATCTTCATCTGGTTATTTTTTGTTTCCTTTGATTTTTTGGGCTTGGCTGTGCGGTTCGCTGGCAGCAGTTGTTGCAATATGCAATTTGGCTGCTTATCTCCAGTTGGATAGCAATCAGCTTGGCCCCAAAACTTCGGTGGGTGGAGAGTGAAATAAAAATTAAATATGGCTCTATTTGAATATTACAACCGCTTGCAAGGCAGTGCATGGGGCTAACTGGGCGGATACTTAATGGGGAGTGAGTGAGTATAAGATGAACATTTTCTGCCGCGATCTATTCCTCCGTATGTATTAAATACAATATATATGTGCATTCTGTTAGTATATTTGTAGGGTTGCTTTATTTACTTTTGAGTTACTGATCACAAAATGTATTAGTTTCTGTGTAGATGCGTGATAGTTCCTCTTTTTGTTACTGTTGACATATGTGTTCTCTAATGGTAGTTACCAAGATTCTAGGTGTAACTACTAACCAACTGTTTTGTAAGTTTAAGTTACCTACAAACTGAATGAAAATCCGTTCCATTCCCTTCTAGACACCTTCGTCCATGCCTCTTTGATTAATGACTTTCGTTGCTTTCCATTTGCTACGATTGCCAATTTAAGCATTGGCGAATCTTTCGCAAAATCTCTCTCTAAAAGACGGTGCCCCATTTGATCCAAATAACACCCTTTTCCCAGAGGCTCCGCACATTACGATATTTGCATACGCTGGCTTCCGTGTATGGGTGCTATCCCCATCCACGAGTATACGTGTGTGTGCACATACAGACGTACGGCTGTGTATATATGGACCCCAACGACATTGGGGCCTCCACCAATTGAAACAAACCAAATGCAAAGTCGTCTCTCCCACAACAAACGGATCTCGGGGAACAGGTTTTCCATTTCTGAAAGTGAGACTGAGAGATCGCGAGAGCCCAGCGAACGAACGAATGAATATTAAACGAGCTTTGTTTCATTAGATTCAAAAGAACTCGCCGCTGCCCCGGGTTCGGGGGCTATGGTATAGTACATATACTTGGGCATGTGGCATGGTATGGTATGGGAGACAGGGCCAAGTCACCTGGGCTCGGACCAGAGCCACTTGCTCGTTCTGCTTCGGTGAACAGCTGCTGCTGCTGCTGCTGCTGCTGCTGCCGCCGCTCTCCGAATGCTCCGATCCAAGACTGCGCGAAAGGTTCAGCTTTTAGCTTTTCGCTTTTTGGCCTTATGCACGGGGTCTGAAGGCAGAGACACCTCAGTTTCAGTTCACAATCTCCCAGATACCAGCTCCCAGTTCCCAGCTCCCAGCTCGCGAGAGCGTCGATCGGTCGTCGAGTTCAGTTGGCCTGCGGTTCGTCATCAGCGTGGTTCATGCGGCTCCGACTTTCGGTTCGCCTTTAATTCGGACTCAAAATTCAGAGTTTTGAATCGGAACTCGGTAGTGGCACTGGTGGCTCTCCATTGACATCGCCATCTGCGTCCCCGGGCTGTAATCATAAATATACAAGTATATCTACATACAGACTGGCCCGCTGTACATAGGCCCAGTTACTTAGTTAGTTAGTTACTTAGCTTGTGCTTGCTGCTGTGCCGTGAATTTTCATTTTCCCAAGAGTGCTGTTGCCGTCACAGTGTCCGCTGTTTGTATCTTGTGAAATGTCGAAACCCTTGATTTTAGGCTACGGATACGTTCATTAGTCGACAACCAACAAGCTCTCTTGAGGGCCAAAAACAAATGAACAAGTGATTTAAGAGAACCCAGATCGATTAAATTATGTATTTGAACCGCTTACACCGGTAAGAAGATGTAAAAAAGTGACCTAATCTGCTATTAAAGAGTTTAGATCGTCCGGGTTTTTGAAAAGTATCGTTTAAACACCAAGTGCCAATCGAATCCAAATTTTAAGTGTGTTTTTCAATATCTCTTTCCAAATGATCGCCAGTGAATAGTGAGATACGAAAATATTTACATCACTAGGCGATTGCAAAAGCGTGGCCAAAATGTGGGTTAGGCTCTGAGCCAGAAACAAAACAAAATCTGACAACAAATGGACGCAAATTCACACATGCCGTGGCACATAAATTTATGGTTGGAACTGTAACTGGGCGAAAATGCTCGGCCCGGCAGCCATCAGCAGTAGTAGCAACAACATTGGTGGCACCACCACCATCACCACCAACACCACCATCTCCACCAGCGAGCCACCAACCACCCACCAATCCACCCGAACCGCCGACAAAGGGAAAAACTAGCGGAATAATGCAACATTAAGCAAAATGCTGCTGGCCCTGCTAAAGCAAAGCCTCTACCAACAACAACAACAACACCGTTTTCAACCTGCCACCACCGACGCCAGCAACAACAACAACACGAACAACACCAGCAACATCAGCAGCAAAAGCAACAACTGCAACAACTGCAACTGCAACAACATCAACGTCACCGTTACCACGAACATCGCCGTTGCCGTATAAAAATGGAACCCTCATATGATCACGAACATCCACATCATCTGCTAACAAATTACAAGTAATATTTACATTTTTCCCATGCTAAAAATTTTTTTCTCGCTGTTTAATTATATCCAACCGAAGCAAAGATACATATCTTCAAGATAATAACCATAATGAAAAATGGAAAAGGCGCTCGTGTAGTGGTGAAGAAATTCTCTAGATCGTACGTATATATGTACAATAAATATGTATATATTTAATGTATATACGTATATGGGCCCATGACTGGGACTTTTCAAGACTTAGTCAGTCACAGTCAGAGGTACAGATACAGATACAGATACAGATACTAAGATACAAAGATACTAGCGGCGGGCACGACAGCGAGAAACACCGTCGGGGATGTCGAATGCACACTGTGGCACTGTGAACAACAACCATAATGAACGGGTATACATATATATGGGGGTTATAGAGTATATAGTATCTGGGAATTTTGCTTAGATTTTCCTTGGTGTGGCCCCAGTTTTTGGACCCCGCAGCACTTGCACTTGTATTCGTATCCGCTTCTCGGTTTTCTCTCCTCTTCCCCGGCAAAACCCAAACGTAAACGTAAATGTAAATATGTAAATGGTCGACTGCGAATAACTTAAGAACCGTCTTTGGACGCGGCTCGAAATTGGTCAAGTGGAAAGTAAACCAAGACGCCGGAGAAGTCGGGGGTGGAGACCCTGGGAAAAAGCGGAGGCCAAGAACGCATAGACGCACGGAGAAGAAGTTTTAACATTCGGTATACGAGTATATTTATATGTATATTCGGCCAGAGGTCAGGGGGCTTTTGACCATTATAAAGATTTGTATCCGATCTACACAGCTTGATAGATACGCATGAGGTTTTAATATCCGTTCGTATATAAGTACTTCCCCTATATATTAGCCATTCAGCTGACTGACTTTCGTAGTTTCCGACGGGAAATTCCCGTCTACAAATTGGCTGAAATTATGAATGGAAATGAAGCCATGAAATTAAATTAAGTACAGATGAAAAGCTCTGATAAGTCCGCACACTTTTCGTAAGAAACTCGAAACCCAAAATCACAAAAACTCTCATGCGCGAAAGAAAGCCTGTCGCATTTTTCGTCACATTTTTCAAAAATCTTCCTGCTTGGGATTGGCTCATCACGAGTCAGGGCCACAAATCAACTCGATGCGATGCCATTTCATTCAGTTTGATCTTTTATGGATGATCCATAAATCAAGTCAAGGCTGCGATCTACCCAAAGTTTGCTAACTTCGGCTTCAATCTAAATAGTTTGCAACATAAAATAAAATTCTATGGCCAATAAACAACCATCTGTATATGTGGATTTCCAATCAATGTTTGAAAATTAATTAAGGCTTCGCCATGACTAAGCTCGGTTGCAAATCCGTATGCCCATTTTCAATTAAAATTTACTTATTTCCTCTGAAATTGTTTATAGATTCTTTGCGTTTAACCATTTCCCGGATACTAAAACTGTATAGTATTTAAGGTTAGCCTAGTCATTTCTGGACTTTCCCCACTGCAACCAGGAACTAAAGCTCTTCGTTGACGTAGAAGTAGATTCCAGAGGCTGTAACTTCTTGGAAGAGAGATAAATCTTTCTAAATGTTTATAAGTCGTGTGTGGACAAGTTGACTGCTTAATTGTATTGATAAATCTGAAGAGTATGACAAGAAAAAAACATAAAAGCCTGCACTACGATTTTTATGATAAAAATTATTATTATATATTATCAAATCTAAAAATATTATTATTTTTGAAAATTAAGAAAAAAACATATTCTGTTTCACTTAGTAAAGCTTTTAGCATAAGCTGTTATTGCTATTCACTAATTGACAAAGTGATCTCAAGAACTCCTGATATCCAATACATATAAGTCTTTAGGTTTAAGAACATATTTACTACTCCAACTGTTGCTTTTAAAAATGTGACTAATGAGAATCACCAAAAACAATATTATTTAAAATTGTTATATTCGGTCAGGATTATAGTTAAACTGTTGAGGCTTGTTCAGAAAAACGCTGTGTATAAAACAGAACCTTTCGATTTAGCTCACACATTTAATATAGTTTCGTTCCATGTAGCTTGCTTAAATAAGATGATCTTTTACTTTCGAAAAGGCAGGACGATGGGGAAGACGATGGGAAGAAGTGGTTAGTCGACGTAACATCAATGACATGTCATGTTTGCCATCAAACATGGCACAATACCAAACAAATTAAATGATGGCTCATTGAACATTCCCCGAATATCAGAGAAGTAATCTTCGGTGACTTTCACTGTAGATTTGAAAACCTAATACATTAGGTCGATTTTAAATACAGTGGTAAATCCATACTAGCTTGCCGTTTTAAGCGCTCATTTATTTTATTTAATATTAAGAATATAAGACTCTGCGATTATGCTAATCTGAACAAAAATGTGCATCTTTAAGATTCTTTCAAAATTGCTAAAGCGACACATGTGTACATATATGTGTATCGTATACAAAACTTATTAATCTGTATTAATCGTAAGGAGAATGCTAGGTAATCTTTATTTGCAAAATAATATTTAAAAAAATACATTTCTTATTTTAACATCTTTAACGAACACCACAGGAAAGTTTGAATATATATTATGATCATCACAACTTGCCTAGCTTGTCCGCAAAATAGAACTTACTTCATCGAATCACATAAATGTTTTCCGGGTAATTAATTTTAATAACCCCAATTAGTGGTCTAATAACATTTAAGGTAGTCAACACCCTGTAAAAACGCACCCCTAAAAAGTATTAAGACTTGGACCCTTTGAAAACACCCCCATTCAGTTAAAGTTTGGTGCCCTGTTAGTTGTTTTCGATCCAGCCAACTAGCTAAGTACGGATCCTCCACATGCAATTACTCTACTTAGTGGTACGAGCATGCAGCACTGCCTCCATTTCCATGCAATCCATGTAATTTAGTACCCCTCCACCTGTGAGGGTGCATACGTACAAGTATCTGTATCTGAATCTGAGTCTGAACAAGTATCTGTAGCTGTGTGTGCTGCGTGTGCTGGTGTGCGTGCTAAAATCCATTAAATTTTTGTATCTTTTTTATGCTCCTAAAATCGCTTGTGTGAGAACTGGGTCTTCGTTGTTTCTTCGATGGTATGGGGGTATGGGTATGGGTATGGGGAATGGGGGTGGTGCCCCAAGAAGTGGGGCTGGGGATCCACAGCGACGACAGCCGCAATAAACCTCATTAGCCGAACGAAAGCAGCTTCGGCTTCGCTCGGCCCTCGAAGATGGATGGTGATGATGACGCTCCGCTCGTCGCTTGCTTCATTAGCTTAATTATGTATGCCCAGACCAGATCACACATATATGCACATATATCGCCCCTATATACAAGGCACAGGTATGGTCCGATCCATTGTGCGTACCGATCCCATTCCCATTCCCATTCGCAGCGAAGCAGGTAGCTCACCTTCATGTTCATGTTCATTAAAGCTAAGATGGCGGCTCTTTAGGCCCGGATGCTGGGATGTTTATGCTTATTGGTCAACAGCATCTACATGCGGCGATACAGACGTATGCATATACATGGATATATATATATGTACGTTTATATAGGCGGCCATGCATATGTATGCGTAAATGGCCGATCCGATCGACCGACAACTCATCGCGGACCGCTGAAAGACCGGCCTGCGTCGTTAAGTTATTCAAGTACATCACACCTGGGCCGCAGCTCCAGCTCCACAAGTTTATCCATACTGCCGCCACCATACTGCCCCGTACCTTTGCCTCAACCTCCAACTGGAACTGGGCCCAAGTCGTGCCAAGTCGTTTGGGCCAAACTCGTTTTCTTGGCCTGAACTGAGCTGAGCTGAGCTGAGCTCCGCTTTGCTGCGCTGTGCTGCGCTGGGCCCCTGGAAATCTGTTTTGTATTCGGGTTGGGGCGCCTGCAGTCGCAGCAGGCAGCCAATAGACTGCAAATGGAGCAAATGGAGAGCCGTGGCAGATGCCTCTTCGCCAGGCGCTGGCCACACCCACCTCCAGGCCCCCCAGCCTCCTACTCCGCCACATCATCCTTCCCAGCCTCGCGAGCTGGCTTCGACTGTGGCCGAAAACCAAAATGGCTTTTATTACCTTGCCGCACCGCTTGCATGGCCACGGCTGCCAAGCCAACTGGCCCAATGCGATCGCAGATGAGGCGCCAAATGATTTGCCATTCTAGGCATGCATTTCTTTGGCGAGCGAATCTCGGATGCCCAACTATGCGATCCAGCTCGAATTAGTTCTAAGTGGAGCTCGCAACGAGATCTACATTAATTATATATCAAGGTTGTTCATTACCATGTTGATGCTGGGCAGAAGCTTTCTAAAATGCATATGAAGCTAATCGGGTTACTAATGGGGCTTATCTCGATGGGATCGCTGGCACTAGAGCTTAATCATGCACAATCCAAATGGGTTTATATATATATACAACCTACATGCTATCATCACCTGAAATCAATCTGTTGGATTATTAGATCAATTTAGAAGGCATTCTCACAATTGTATTTCCATGATATGCAGATAACATTTCCCAAAGAAAGTGACCCCTACCAACGCCAGTTACGTGATAATTCTGAAAACTGCACTGATTTGCCTATCAGTGTCTAAGTCGTCTATGACATATCAAAAACAGATCCCCCGAATAATAGAATGCCATTGTTCTTCACTCTGTGTGTGCAGCATCGGAGACAAATCTGGCCAATTGTTGTCACATACCTGTCCGCAACTCAGAGAATCCCCAACTGGCCCCATCTGGCGAATAGACCAGTGGCTAGACAAAGGTATTGACAGCTCAACGATGCGGTGGTTCTGTCTTAATTACTGTCCTATTTGCTGGAATGTCGGTTTGTCAACCGAAAGTTGCAACTTGCCTCGAAACGCTTTCTAAAATTAGCCAGAAATATGGAGACAATGTTTAGATTAAGGGGAGCCGCCACTTTGGCTTTTTATTGTCCCCCAAATATACACACATACCTGTATATATGTATATTTATGTGTGGGGTTCAGGATGGGGTATCCAACTTAAAAGGCTGTCTTGAGCAGCGCGGCAGAGCGTCACATGAATCACAATATGCTAAAGCGCCTGACACTCTCCAGATCAATGCGGCTTCTTCGGTTGGGAGTTGGTTGGCTGGCGGCTCCTGAATGAAGCCACGGGGCTTGTTAAAAGGGAGGAGTTGCCTACTTTTGTGGCAGCCTCGAGGGGCGGCCCCCTCTCATGCCTGCAGCCTGCAACTGGCAAGGCCCCTTTCCACATTTACCGGGACTCCTTGGCAGCCACCAGAGAAGTCGATGTTGTCGTAAACAAAACGTTCCATGGGTCCCCGAAATCGGCGGCGGACATCGAGTACTTGGACAGGGGATTTCGGAACGGGGGACAGGAGGTTAAGGAGGCTGGCCGCAATGTGGAATATGTGGCATTTTGCAAAGATGTTGACATTTTGCGCGCATAAAAATGCCAACTTACCGGCCACTGTATGTGTCCTATTTTAAAATCAGGGCCATGGCTAAGCAGGCCGCATCCACAAAGCTGCAAAACTGAATCTGAAGCTGGAGCTGAAAACTTAAAACTGAAGCTGGCTTAGCCGAGCGGAGCTTCGTGGATCGTGAGCGGGCTTAGGATAAAGCCAGACCGACTTCGACCAGACAGCCGACAGTTGGGACAGTTGGGACAGTTTGGACAGCAGCGGCAAATGGACAGACGGACGGACAGGCCGGTACCAGGACAGTGGACGGTGGACGGCGGACGGTGGACAGTAGACGGTGGACGGTATAATTTTGTGTACCCCTTTTCGGCCAAGCTGGCGTATCGACAGCGGCCAAGTATTTAGCGGCAGCCGCAACCGAATATCAAAAACGTAACGACGTCACAGCGAAACCCTCAATAAATTATCGAGCCTTCAGCCAGGGCTGGTCCGAACATTCAGATGGGGCCCAAGGAGCACTGAGCACCGCTAAGTTGGCTTTCATAAGCACGGCTGGGTATGGGGTATGGCTAAATTTGCAACTTCGTCGGCATTGTCAAGGAAGAAAGTCGACGAAACTAGAGCGGCTTTTGGGGCCTAGGCTGTACTCCCTCCCAAGGCGAGAGACCAAAGGCACAGGGCCAAGGGGAATTAGAGCTAGGCAGCCGGGATCCATGGCAAACAATTAGGCCCAGTGGTGCTGGATCTGGTCCAGGCTGTGGTTGCGGTTGCGGTTGCGGTTGCGCTTGTGGTTGCGATGGTGGTAGGTAGGCAAAAGAGGCAGGAGTCGGCAGCAGCAGCGGCACACAATAGACCAAAAGTGTAGTGGGCAGCAATAAATTCAAACGGTAACAAATCGAGGTTGAAGGCGATCGAGGAGCACGCATACTGCGGCATGGCCCATGGATCCCCAAAGGATCGAGCGTCGGGATCTCGGGAGCTTTGGCAATATTTAAACTTGTCGTCCGGGGGCCGCTCTCCATGCTGCTGCTCGCCAATGCTGCTGAATTCTTGGAAGGCGAATTACTTTGAAATGTGTCGATATGTCGCAAGTTTTAAAAGTTATGCATAAAGGTCCGGCAAGGCAGCCAGACTCCAGCCAGCCTCATTCTCATTCTCAATCCCGATCTGAGTCGCGGTCTGCACTGCACCAGAGCTGAATCTGAATCTGAGCCATAGCCACAGCCTCCGTCTGGCTCTGGATATGGGTATAGGTATGGGTGTGGGTATGGGTATGGGTCTGGGTACCAGCTTCTGCTCCAGCTTCTTTGCTTACTCCGCCGACTCCGCGACGGTGGCTTGTTGGAGCTGGAGCGGCCTCCTTTGATAATACAATAGCTGCACGCGCCCAATTTACATTTATGTCCGCTGACATTAAGGAGCGCACCGATGCCGGGAGCCCAAGCGATCCGTTCCGTTTCGATCTGGAGTTCCAGTTTGTGTCTCTCTGGTGTCTGATAAATGCAAAGGTATACCCCGCCCTCAGCAGCCCCTCTTTTTTTATTTTTTTTTTTTTTGATCTTCTGTGCGTGCCAGCGACGCGAAAATTGTCGACGTATTTAGCAGCCCCCTTTAAATATCATTATAAGGAACATTGCGTCGGGCATTTTTGCCGGCGGTACGTAATTTGGAGCAGTAGCTCCTCGACCGAGGGATTAACAACGATCATGAATGTGATACGAGGCGGGAACTCGACTCGAGGGATAACTCCATCTTCTATGGGGCACGTTCATGGGCTGTGCTTCATTTGCATCTACATATAGCCAAGTTATCGGTTGAGCAGGTATCCGATGATGATTAAAGGTTGATCAACATTCTTGGCATTGAAATTATTTCGCATCTGATGTTGCAGTGCGAGGGTAAAACAATTTGATCAATTTAATTACTTCTAAATTTTGATCTTGGGATTCAGTTCATCATACCGCGTTTTCTCTCAGTGTAGTATACCCCGGCATTTAAATACTTATCCACGCGTACCATTCCTCCCGCCTACTTGCAGTTCAAAGAAGTATCCGCACGTCTCGCTCACTCCGGAGTACAGCCACTCCACCGGAAGCGATTATCCGGAGCACGGGGGCTACCTGACGGATGGTCGTCTGATGCACGAGAGCAACAGCGATGCCGGCATCTACCACGTGCGCCAGGGAAGCGAGCACTCCTCGCCCAGCCTGCACTCGCCAGCCATACAGAGCTCCGGATACGAGAATGAGCACCTGAACGAGGCGGTTCTGGCCGCGCACAGCCACAGCCACTCGCCCATGCCGATGGTGTCCAGCGCCTACGTGGGCGGAGGAACTGCCTCCGGATCGCTGATTAACAGCAACATTCCCCTTCTCGGTGGCGGCGGCAACTCGGTACTGAACAAATTTCTGTCGCATCCGCACGCTGGGATGGTGGGCGGAGGAAGCGGACAAATGGAGGACTGCACATCGCACTCGCCGATTGAAGCGGCGTCCATGTGGAGCTACGACTACAAGGGCGACCTGTGCGCCCCCAATTGTGGCTATCTGGAGCGGCACAAGCCGCTGCCCGCCGACCTCAAGTACCGGCCCGGCGGAACCCAGTCAAAAAGTGCCAAAGAATCGCGCATCCGGCGGCCGATGAACGCCTTCATGGTCTGGGCCAAGATCGAGCGCAAGAAGCTGGCCGACGAGAATCCCGACCTGCATAATGCCGACCTCAGCAAGATGTTGGGTAAGTATTTCACAGATCTGAAGTATGTGCAGTTAGAGAAGTTCCTAATGGATTTAATGTTTTAAATTTTTCATTTTTAATGAGTTAATCAATGACTTGTATCTTTTAAAGCTTGTACTCGGCGAATAATAATATCTCATACCTCCACATTCTATCTAAATCTTCTCGCTGCAGGAAAGAAATGGCGTTCGCTAACGCCGCAAGATCGCAGGCCCTACGTGGAGGAGGCGGAGCGTCTGCGGGTGATTCACATGACGGAGCATCCGAACTACAAGTACAGACCCCGGCGGCGCAAGCAGTCCAAGCTGCGGGCCATGCAGCCGGGTGGCAAGGATCAGAACGAGAGCTCACCCAATCCGGGCACTGGTGGACCCAAGTCGAATCCAAAGCTGGCCACACCTCCGCTGGCCACCGCATCATCCAGCTATACAACGCCCACCGACGAGAGCACCTGCAATTCCACGAGCCAGAATCACGGCCAGTCAACTCCGGGCGGCCTCTACGAGCAGCCGCTGAAGCCCACGTATTCGCCCAGTTCCGTGGACTGCTACAGCAATGCGGATAGCACGGAACAGATTGAGTCACTGGCCGCCAACTGCCCGCCCGCCCTGCTCAATGAATCGTCGCCCACGGGCGGAGGCTACGACAACTCATTGTTGCTCAAGAAGTTAACAAAACCGTCTCCCAGCCGTGCGGCCAAGTCGCGCCAGGATAAGCTCTCCAAATCCGAGGAGAAGAACAAGGGGCAGTCGCAGGGACAGTCCCAGCAGGGTCTATATGCTGCCTCCTATCCGCTGGCACCCACCTCAGTGGCCGTGGTGGCAGCCAGGGGCATGTATGTGACGTGCAACAATCGGGGATTGCTGGATCATGGTCACTCTGTCAAGGGCACATTCTACCCACCAGTATCCGTTTCGGAGGATGACAATAGCGCCACCATGCGGAACAGCATAAGTGCACTGCAGCAGCACTGCAATGTGGCCACAAGTACACCCTCAAGTTCCGCCGGTCCCATTCCAGCCAGCGAGATGAGCAGCTACACGGTCTCCATGGCGGATAACTGCGGAAATCTAAGGCTCAGCATGAACGAGCTGTCTGGCAATGAGTATCTGCCCAGCGCCAATGCCTATGGAATGCAGTACGAGGACTTCCTGCGCTATCAGAGCAACGATATGGATTACTCTACGTCGGCGGTGGAGCACAAGGAGCCTACTTCCGATTCGGCGGGCGTCCAGAAGTGCCTCAAGTACCCGGACACGAATCAGAACTACGACGACTACGAGGCGGAGGCCTACAGTAACGCCATGCTGCCGGCAACGGCAGCTAGCTACTACACCCAGCTCCCGTATCCGCCCACCTCGCTGGCCGCCTTTCCCCTCCAGCTGGCCGTGCCGTTCCAGCAGACGACATCGGGTGCCTACGGTGCGCAGCCCATCCAGAGTGGTTACCTGCACTACGGCAACTATGGTGGCTATGAGGGCATGGCCCAGAGTCAGGCTCAGAACCAAGCGCCCGTCCAGCACCAGCAGGCATCCCACTCGGCTCCGCCCTCCCTCTCAGCGCCACCCAACCAGACGGTGACCTCCAATCCGGCAGCCATCACCATGCAGCAGCACCATCACCATCACTTTGCGCCCGCACCCGGCATGGTGGGCGTGGGCGTGGGCGTCGGAGTCGGAGTGGGAGTCGGAGTCGGAGTCGGAGTTGGTGAAATGCTCTTCGAGCAGCAGCAGCGCAAAGATGATGAGATTAGCAACATTCTGGCAGGAGTGCGCAAGACCTGCTACAGCAACTGACTCTGATCAGACATACGTGTATGTAATATTTGGCGCCTAGAGTTTAGAGAGTGGTTTAGGTAGTCTTAAGATTGCTTCCGCACCCACAATGTTCTTCCAGCCCTTCCCCCGATACTACACTTTTAGAACACTTTTGAATTGTACAATTATTAGAGCTGCATAGATACGATGAGACAAAAAAGATACATAACGAAATAAAGTAATTCCTAAGTAATCGAAACGCATAATCGATGTCAATGTCAGTGTGGAACGCATTCGCCCAATGACAGCATCTTGGGGGTGGAACGCGGATGGACCGTGACCATATGACACTGACACAGCCACCCGATATATACACGACCGGATCCTGCGCACTGCCAGTTCCATCAGGTTGGAGTGCAAAGATTTTCTTTTCCCATTCGCACGGCCACAGATTTCCCACGTTACATAAAATTCAAAAGACTTTTTCCACTATTTTCCGCATCGCCTACGGCAGTTTTCAAATCGCTTTTGAAACTGAACTTCGAGATTCGAGTGAGCAGGATGTGCAAGTATCCGAGAATCGCATGATTAACGCGCTCCATTCGCACAAGGGCGCCAAGTTGTCGCAATCAAAAGCAAAATCTGAGTCAAAATTCAGTTTTATTTTCTAGATTGTTAATCCTCATGTGACCACAGTAGTTGAGAAATTCGAGAACCATTGCGGAAGCTGGAGGCCAACGAAATTGTTAAAGAAAATTCTGATAAAATCGATACACTACTTCGCACGCCTTCTTGACGCCACCGCAGCCGCCGCCATCAGGCCAATACCACCCCCACCACCACTACCACCACTACTACCACCATCGCCATAAGCCATTCCAGCATCATCAGGGCCGTTAATAGCCAGCATCCAACATGTCATTCATAGCCAAATTGAAAGCCACGCCATTGCCGCCCCTGAGAAACATACTCAATGTGGCCGTGCAAACGGCCCGACAGCAAATTCCAGAGCGCAAGGATTACGAGCAACCGCCGGGAAGCACCGCCCAGCAGCACCACCACAGCCAGCAGTCGCAGCACAAGGCCATGGAGGCGGGCATGGACGGCGGAGACACCACCGAGATGAGCTCGAATCCCTTCCGGAACGCCGGTAGCTGGACGAACGACGGAGAGGGCGAGGGCGATGGCGTTGGCGAGTACAGGAACGAGTACCAGAGCACATCCTTCAATGAGTACGACGGCAGGTATCAGCAAACGGACGGCTTTAGGTGGGTTCATCACTATGGGTAGAACTATGGGAACTGTAACGCTAAACGCAATCTATCTTCCGCAGGCAAGGTAGCATCGCCTCCGAGGGAAGCTCATTTGTATGCGAGGGAGAAGGTGGCGGCGGCTGCAAAATCGACGAGTTCCAGGCGGCCTGGAACGTGACCAACGCCATTCAGGGCATGTTCATCGTATCGCTGCCCTTCGCCGTACTCCACGGCGGCTATTGGGCCATCGTGGCCATGGTGGGAATAGCACACATCTGCTGCTACACGGGCAAGGTCCTGGTGCAGTGTCTATACGAACCGGATCCGGCAACGGGGCAAATGGTGCGAGTGCGCGACAGTTATGTGGCCATAGCCAAGGTATGTTTCGGACCCAAATTGGGCGCACGGGCAGTCAGCATTGCCCAGCTCATCGAGCTTCTGATGACCTGCATCCTGTACGTGGTGGTGTGCGGCGATCTATTGGCCGGAACGTATCCACAGGGCTCGTTCGACTCGCGCTCCTGGATGCTGTTCGTGGGCATATTCCTGCTGCCGATGGGATTCCTTAAGTCGCTGAAAATGGTATCAACGCTCTCGTTCTGGTGCACAATGTCGCACATTGTGATAAACGCCGTGATACTGGGCTATTGCCTGCTGCAGATTGGTGATTGGGGTTGGTCCAAGGTCCGATTCAGCATCGACATGGAGAACTTCCCGATCTCACTGGGCGTGATCGTCTTCTCGTACACCTCTCAGATCTTTCTGCCCACGCTCGAGGGCAACATGATCGATCGATCCAAATTCAACTGGATGCTGGACTGGTCTCACATAGCGGCTGCTGTGTTTAAGGCCGGATTCGGGTATATCTGCTTTCTGACCTTCCAGAACGACACCCAGCAGGTGATTACCAATAATCTGCACTCGCAAGGCTTTAAAGGCATGGTAAACTTCTTTCTGGTCATCAAGGCCCTTCTTAGCTACCCCTTGCCATACTATGCTGCCTGTGAGCTGCTCGAGCGCAACTTCTTTAGAGGTCCGCCAAAGACCAAATTTCCAACCATCTGGAATCTGGACGGGGAACTGAAGGTTTGGGGTTTGGGCTTCCGCGTCGGCGTCATTGTATCCACCATACTGATGGCCATCTTCATTCCCCACTTCTCCATTCTGATGGGTTTCATTGGCAGCTTCACTGGCACAATGCTCAGCTTTATCTGGCCTTGCTATTTCCACATCAAGATCAAGGGGCACCTGCTCGATCAGAAGGAAATAGCCAAAGACTACCTCATCATTGGGCTCGGTGTGCTCTTCGGCGTTATTGGTATCTACGATTCGGGCAATGCCCTGATAAATGCATTTGAAATCGGTCTTCCATTTTAAATTGAATGTAAACTAACCAATCAAAAGATTTTTATTTACGATACTCGACACTTTTGGCCATGGCAAGTCTTCCAGATGCTTTGTCATCATTTGGCTATGTCCAAAATGCCGAGGATTGAATTAATAATATCACACATGCGAAACGAAATTATAAAACAATAATGTTAGTCTGTAAGAAACGAAACGCAAGTCTTCCAAACAAGCGAAAAAATGTCTTCCAAACGAAAGTAATAATGATTTATGATATACACAATAAATAAATTAAGAGAAAAGACGATTATATAAATATACATAAGTACGTGTATGTACGAGTATGAGAAGAGGAATATTTATTGTGTTAATATGCATTATAAGATATAGAAAAATTGAACAGAGTAAAACGATAAACTGCAAATGTACACCATTATACAAATGCAAAACAAAGTGTATGAGTATGTTATAGATAGAACTCATTGTTTATATATAGCCGAGCGGATTTTTTTAACGTTTAAATATACAGTTACCTATACATACTAGCCCTTAAAACGACACTAGCATCTTTTAAACTCTCAATAAAGACATCATCTCCAGTTGATCCCAAATAACCCTTATTGGTGCAAAGAAAGTCAAAGTTGTCGATTTAAGAATGTAGTCTTTATTGTTAATCTTCATTTTCGGATTGGTTTGTATATTGTATAAAACGTATATTGTCATGCTTAGCCTATCATTAATATGGGATTTCTGTGTTAGTAAAGCAAAGGATATGTATATACTCGTAGTCGGGCACTATTGGTTTGAGGTCTTGAAGAACTTGTGTTCTTGAGTACTCCTTGTATGTTGGAATGCACCTTGTTTAATCTTATGCACAGCACACGTCGTTTTTGGGGCAGTTATGTATTCGCTCTTGTATAAACTGGAGCCGGTGAACTTTTCATTGCCCAGACTAATTGAGGACTGATTTCCTCGCCGGGTGACCACACGCTCCGTGTGGCCATGAGCACTGTAGGATGGGAAATCGATGCCACTGCCCAAGCTGGACACCTGCTGATTTCCTCGGTGACGGCTGGTATGGCTTCCGGTGTGGGAATGGGATTGAGACGAAAAATCAATGCCTCCACCACCCGAAACTTGGCTGCGTGTCACCGTTGACCGTTCGGCATTCGAATTGGTGGCCCCACCAGAAATTATGCGGGTCATTGAGGATGAGTTCTTCACGTTGTGCTCCCTGTTCTCCTTGTGCACATTGCAGGTACGACGCTCGGTCGTAAAAGTCGCATTTGCGTCAGAGTCCCGGTTTTGGCGATGGATGCTGCTGTAACTCTGACGCTCCCCACCATAGGTACTGGTGCTCGAGGGCTGCTCGTGCAGATTCAGTATGCTCTTGCGCTGCATCTTTCCATTGGACGTCAAGCTGCCATTGGCTGTATTCGAATCGGTGGTTACGTTCTTGCGATGGAAGACCGTGTTGGAGAGGTCAGCTTCTGAGGAGAATTCGCTCTTTCGGTGATGGAAGTGCTTTGATGTGGTCGTCTGCGAGGCTGTGCTTCCAGTCACAATGTTATGGGTGGAAGTTCTACCCCCAGAGACCGTTCGCGATGTTGAATCTTCGCTAGTGTTCTGTCCAACTGTGCTTCCAGGCAGAACACGGCTTGTTGTATCGCCGATAATGTTATTGGAGTCAGATCTTCCGGATACAATACGAGTGGTGGTTTCGCCAATTGCATCACTGGATACGTTTCTTCCTGACACCACCCGTGAAGTGGAATTCTCAGTCGTGTTAGTAATAACATTTCTGCCTGAAATCACGCGAGACGATGATTCGCCACCTACGTTATTAGAGACTGATCCACTGGTTATAACTCTTGAGCTTATGTCGCCAGTGTTCTTATCGGTTAAATGTCTACGACTAGATTCAATCGCGGTATTGGATGAATCCGTACCCGTGATACTTTCCGTAGTTAAGGCAGAACTTTTTATGACGTTTTGGTTTCTTTGCAGAGAAGTGGATTCTTTATGAATGTTTTGAGTGTTTTCGATATTTGTCGTAGTAGTATTCTTGGCAACATTTTCTATTACGTTTACCTTTGCCGGCCTCTTGACATACTCGGTTTCTGGTTCCTTCTTATGACGCCCTCCTATGACAGTAGTTACCTTTGTTGTAGACACAACAATGAGACCGTCAACCGGGTTTTGACCGCTCGAATCGACTTGTTTGACAGCGTCCTTGCCAGACACATAGTTCATCTGATTTGTTGTTTTTCGGATTGTAGTATCACTTCCCAAAGTAATAGATGAACTGTTGTGGTTAATTCTTTGAGTACGCTGAACTTTGTCCACCGTTGTTTTGGACGTATTTTTGTAATCATCTCTTCTGGTCACAGTCATAGACCCTTCTAGCTTCAGATTGTCAACAGGGCGTTTTGGCGTTTCTCTCTTAATGGTTTCTGTAACTATCTTGCTATCGGTCTCGCTGCGGTCTGTTCTCTTATAAAATTCTCCTTCCGGCTTAAGATTGTCTTTTGGTTTTTTCTGAATTGGTCGCTCAGCAGGCCTAAACGAAGTTTTATTGGGGGTATAAAATTCGCCTTCGACTTTAAGGTTATCACTTGGCTTTACTGGCTCCGGCCGTTTAACGTGATGGTATTCCTCCTTCTGGGTGAAGGTCATTTCGCCCTCGGTTCTTAAATTATCTTTTCTAATAACCGTCTTCACCTTATCGGCAGGCCGGTACCCATCCTTTTCGGGAATGTGCATTTTACCTTCAGGTTTCAAGTTGTCGGCATATTTCTTCTGTTCTGGACGGGAAGCGGGCTCATATTTCGGTTTTTCCGGGGTATACATTATACCTTCTGGTTTCAAATTGTCTTTAGGCTTAACCGGCTCGGGGCGTTCACCATTTGTATGAGCGGGCTTTTCAGGTACGTAAAGCTTACCAGAGGTTCGCAAGTTATCTTCCGGCTTCACTGGGGTAGGTCTAACAACATGATGATACTCCGTTTTTTCCGTGAAAGTCATTTCTCCTTCACTGCGAAGGTTGTCTTTATGAATAACTCTTGTCACCTTATCGGCAGGCTTATATTTGTCCTTTTCTGGTATAACCATATCGCCCTCTGGTTTTAAGTTATCATGAGGTTTTTTCTGTTTCGGTCTTTCAGCAGGTTTAAATACCTCTTTTTCTTGAACGTAGAAGTCTCCTTCCACCTTCAAGTTATCTTTCTGCCTTACAACAGTAACTCGATCGGCTGGTTGGTATTTTGGTCGATCGGGAGTAAAGAACTCGCCTTCAGGCTTTAGATTATCAACAGGTTTCTTAGGTACCGGTCGATCTCCCGCCATATATCCTGGCTTTTCAGGAGCAAAGAAACTCCCTTCGGGTCTCAAATTATCCTCATGTCGAACTTGCAAAGGACGTTCTCCAGGCCTGTACGGTTGCTTTTCTGGACTGTAAAAGTCTCCTTCCGGCCTTAAGTTGTCATCTGGCTTCTTTTGAACTGGTCTTTCAGCAGGCCTGAAACCTGGCTTTTCCGGCGTGTAAAATTCACCTTCTGGTCTAAGATTATCCTCCGGCCGAACCTGGGAAGGTCTTTCGCCAGGCTTGTACTTGGGTTTCTCGGGACTGTAGAATTCGCCCTCGGGCTTGAGATTGTCCTGTGGCTTCTTTTGTTCGGGCCTCTCAGCAGGCCTGAATCCTGGCTTATCCGGCGTGAAGAATTCACCCTCTGGTCTCAGATTATCTTCGGGCCTAACCTGAGAGGGTCTTTCGCCAGGTTTGTATTTAGGTTTCTCGGGACTGTAGAATTCTCCTTCAGGCTTGAGATTGTCCAAAGGCTTAACCTGATCAGGACGTACCACATATTGATATTCTTCTCTTTCTACAAACGTCATTTCTCCTTCCGTACGAAGATTATCTTTTCGAATAATTCTTTCAGTTTTATCGGCCGGCTTGTAAACTTGTTTCTCAGGCTTCACGAATTCGCCTTCCGGCTTCAAGTTATCCTGCGGCTTTTTCTGTACTGGTCTTTCAGCTGGCCTGAATCCTGGCTTTTCCGGCGTGTAGAATTCACCTTCTGGCCTTAGATTATCTTCGGGCCTAACCTGGGAAGGTCTCTCACCAGGCTTGTACTTCGGTTTCTCGGGACTGTAAAATTCGCCCTCGGGCTTGAGATTGTCCTGTGGCTTCTTTTGTTCGGGCCTCTCAGCAGGCCTGAATCCTGGCTTTTCCGGCGCATAGAATTCACCTTCTGGCCTTAGATTATCTTCGGGCCTAACCTGGGAAGGTCTTTCGCCAGGCTTGTACTTGGATTTCTCGGGACTGTAGAATTCTCCTTCAGGCTTGAGATTGTCCAAAGGCTTAACCTGATCAGGACGTACCACATATTGATATTCTTCTCTCTCTACAAACGTCATTTCTCCTTCCGTACGAAGATTATCTTTCCGAATAATTCTTTCAGTTTTATCAGCCGGCTTGTAAACTTGTTTCTCAGGCTTCACGAATTCGCCTTCTGGCTTTAAGTTGTCCTGCGGCTTTTTCTGTACTGGTCTTTCAGCAGGCCTGAATCCTGGCTTCTCCGGCGTGTAGAATTCACCTTCTGGCCTTAGATTATCTTCGGGCCTAACCTGGGAAGGTCTCTCACCAGGCTTGTACTTCGGTTTCTCGGGACTGTAGAATTCGCCCTCGGGTTTGAGGTTGTCCTGTGGTTTCTTTTGTTCGGGCCTCTCAGCAGGCCTGAATCCTGGCTTATCCGGCGTGTAGAATTCACCTTCTGGCCTTAGATTATCTTCGGGCCTAACCTGGGAAGGTCTCTCACCAGGCTTGTACTTGGGTTTCTCGGGACTGTAGAATTCGCCCTCGGGTTTGAGGTTGTCCTGTGGTTTCTTTTGTTCGGGCCTCTCAGCAGGCCTAAATCCTGGCTTTTCCGGCGTGTAAAATTCACCTTCTGGCCTTAGATTATCTTCCGGCCTAACCTGGGAAGGTCTTTCGCCAGGCTTGTACTTGGGTTTCTCGGGACTGTAGAATTCTCCTTCAGGCTTGAGATTGTCCAAAGGCTTAACCTGATCAGGACGTACCACATATTGATATTCTTCTCTCTCTACAAAAGTCATTTCTCCTTCCGTACGAAGATTATCTTTCCGAATAATTCTTTCAGTTTTATCGGCCGGCTTGTAAACTTGTTTCTCAGGCTTCACGAATTCGCCTTCCGGCTTTAAGTTGTCCTGCGGCTTTTTCTGTACTGGTCTTTCAGCAGGCCTGAATCCTGGCTTCTCCGGCGTGTAGAATTCACCTTCTGGCCTTAGATTATCTTCGGGCCTAACCTGGGAAGGTCTCTCACCAGGCTTGTACTTCGGTTTCTCGGGACTGTAGAATTCGCCCTCGGGCTTGAGGTTGTCCTGTGGTTTCTTTTGTTCGGGCCTCTCAGCAGGCCTGAATCCTGGCTTATCCGGCGTGTAGAATTCACCCTCTGGCCTTAGATTATCTTCGGGCCTAACCTGGGAAGGTCTTTCGCCAGGCTTGTACTTGGGTTTCTCGGGACTGTAGAATTCTCCTTCAGGCTTGAGATTGTCCAAAGGCTTAACCTGATCAGGACGTACCACATATTGATATTCTTCTCTCTCTACAAAAGTCATTTCTCCTTCCGTACGAAGATTATCTTTCCGAATAATTCTTTCAGTTTTATCGGCCGGCTTGTAAACTTGTTTCTCAGGCTTCACGAATTCGCCTTCCGGCTTTAAGTTGTCCTGCGGCTTTTTCTGTACTGGTCTTTCAGCAGGCCTGAATCCTGGCTTCTCCGGCGTGTAGAATTCACCTTCTGGCCTTAGATTATCTTCGGGCCTAACCTGGGAAGGTCTCTCACCAGGCTTGTACTTCGGTTTCTCGGGACTGTAGAATTCGCCCTCGGGTTTGAGGTTGTCCTGTGGTTTCTTTTGTTCGGGCCTCTCAGCAGGCCTGAATCCTGGCTTATCCGGCGTGTAGAATTCACCTTCTGGCCTTAGATTATCTTCGGGCCTAACCTGGGAAGGTCTCTCACCAGGCTTGTACTTGGGTTTCTCGGGACTGTAGAATTCGCCCTCGGGTTTGAGGTTGTCCTGTGGTTTCTTTTGTTCGGGCCTCTCAGCAGGCCTAAATCCTGGCTTTTCCGGCGTGTAAAATTCACCTTCTGGCCTTAGATTATCTTCCGGCCTAACCTGGGAAGGTCTTTCGCCAGGCTTGTACTTGGGTTTCTCGGGACTGTAGAATTCTCCTTCAGGCTTGAGATTGTCCAAAGGCTTAACCTGATCAGGACGTACCACATATTGATATTCTTCTCTCTCTACAAAAGTCATTTCTCCTTCCGTACGAAGATTATCTTTCCGAATAATTCTTTCAGTTTTATCGGCCGGCTTGTAAACTTGTTTCTCAGGCTTCACGAATTCGCCTTCCGGCTTTAAGTTATCCTGCGGCTTTTTCTGTACTGGTCTTTCAGCAGGCCTGAATCCTGGCTTCTCCGGCGTGTAGAATTCACCTTCTGGCCTTAGATTATCTTCGGGCCTAACCTGGGAAGGTCTCTCACCAGGCTTGTACTTCGGTTTCTCGGGACTGTAGAATTCGCCCTCGGGCTTGAGGTTGTCCTGTGGTTTCTTTTGTTCGGGCCTCTCAGCAGGCCTGAATCCTGGCTTATCCGGCGTGTAGAATTCACCCTCTGGCCTTAGATTATCTTCGGGCCTAACCTGGGAAGGTCTTTCGCCAGGCTTGTACTTGGGTTTCTCGGGACTGTAGAATTCTCCTTCAGGCTTGAGATTGTCCAAAGGCTTAACCTGATCAGGACGTACCACATATTGATATTCTTCTCTCTCTACAAAAGTCATTTCTCCTTCCGTACGAAGATTATCTTTCCGAATAATTCTTTCAGTTTTATCGGCCGGCTTGTAAACTTGTTTCTCCGGCTTCACGAACTCGCCTTCCGGCTTTAAGTTGTCCTGCGGCTTTTTCTGTACTGGTCTTTCAGCAGGCCTGAATCCTGGCTTCTCCGGCGTGTAGAATTCACCTTCTGGCCTTAGATTATCTTCGGGCCTAACCTGGGAAGGTCTCTCACCAGGCTTGTACTTCGGTTTCTCGGGACTGTAGAATTCGCCCTCGGGCTTGAGATTGTCCTGTGGTTTCTTTTGTTCGGGCCTCTCAGCAGGCCTGAATCCTGGCTTATCCGGCGTGTAGAATTCACCCTCTGGCCTTAGATTATCTTCGGGCCTAACCTGGGAAGGTCTTTCGCCAGGCTTGTACTTGGGTTTCTCGGGACTGTAGAATTCTCCTTCAGGCTTGAGATTGTCCAAAGGCTTAACCTGATCAGGACGTACCACATATTGATATTCTTCTCTCTCTACAAAAGTCATTTCTCCTTCCGTACGAAGATTATCTTTCCGAATAATTCTTTCAGTTTTATCGGCCGGCTTGTAAACTTGTTTCTCAGGCTTTACGAATTCGCCTTCTGGCTTTAAGTTGTCCTGCGGCTTTTTCTGTACTGGTCTTTCAGCAGGCCTGAATCCTGGCTTCTCCGGCGTGTAGAATTCACCTTCTGGCCTTAGATTATCTTCGGGCCTAACCTGGGAAGGTCTCTCACCAGGCTTGTACTTCGGTTTCTCGGGACTGTAGAATTCGCCCTCGGGCTTGAGGTTGTCCTGTGGTTTCTTTTGTTCAGGCCTCTCAGCAGGCCTAAATCCTGGCTTTTCCGGCGTGTAAAATTCACCTTCTGGCCTTAGATTATCTTCCGGCCGAACCTGGGAAGGTCTTTCGCCAGGCTTGTACTTGGGTTTCTCGGGACTGTAGAATTCGCCCTCGGGCTTGAGATTGTCCTGTGGCTTCTTTTGTTCGGGCCTCTCAGCAGGCCTGAATCCTGGCTTATCCGGCGTGTAGAATTCACCTTCTGGCCTTAGATTATCTTCGGGCCTAACCTGGGAAGGTCTCTCACCAGGTTTGTACTTCGGTTTCTCGGGACTGTAGAATTCGCCCTCGGGCTTGAGGTTGTCCTGTGGTTTCTTTTGTTCGGGCCTCTCAGCAGGCCTGAATCCTGGCTTATCCGGCGTGTAGAATTCACCCTCTGGCCTTAGATTATCTTCGGGCCTAACCTGGGAAGGTCTTTCGCCAGGCTTGTACTTGGGTTTCTCGGGACTGTAGAATTCTCCTTCAGGCTTGAGATTGTCCAAAGGCTTAACCTGATCAGGACGTACCACATATTGATATTCTTCTCTCTCTACAAAAGTCATTTCTCCTTCCGTACGAAGATTATCTTTCCGAATAATTCTTTCAGTTTTATCGGCCGGCTTGTAAACTTGTTTCTCAGGCTTCACGAATTCGCCTTCCGGCTTTAAGTTGTCCTGGGGTTTTTTCTGTACTGGTCTTTCAGCAGGCCTGAATCCTGGCTTCTCCGGCGTGTAGAATTCACCTTCTGGCCTTAGATTATCTTCGGGCCTAACCTGGGAAGGTCTCTCACCAGGCTTGTACTTCGGTTTCTCGGGACTGTAGAATTCGCCCTCGGGCTTGAGGTTGTCCTGTGGTTTCTTTTGTTCGGGCCTCTCAGCAGGCCTGAATCCTGGCTTATCCGGCGTGTAGAATTCACCTTCTGGCCTTAGATTATCTTCGGGCCTAACCTGGGAAGGTCTTTCGCCAGGCTTGTACTTAGGTTTTTCGGGACTGTAGAATTCTCCTTCAGGCTTGAGATTGTCCGATGGCTTAACTTGATCAGGACGTACCACATATTGATATTCTTCTCTTTCTACAAACGTCATTTCTCCTTCCGTACGTAGATTATCTTTTTGAATAATTCTTTCAGTTTTATCGGCCGGCTTGTAAACTTGTTTCTCAGGCTTCACGAATTCGCCTTCTGGCTTTAAGTTGTCCTGCGGCTTTTTCTGTACTGGTCTTTCAGCAGGCCTGAATCCTGGCTTCTCCGGCGTGTAGAATTCACCTTCTGGCCTTAGATTATCTTCGGGCCTAACCTGGGAAGGTCTCTCACCAGGCTTGTACTTCGGTTTCTCGGGACTGTAGAATTCGCCCTCGGGCTTGAGGTTGTCCTGTGGTTTCTTTTGTTCGGGCCTCTCAGCAGGCCTAAATCCTGGCTTATCCGGCGTGTAGAACTCACCTTCTGGCCTTAGATTATCTTCTGGCCTAACCTGGGAAGGTCTTTCGCCAGGCTTGTACTTCGGTTTCTCGGGGCTGTAGAATTCGCCCTCGGGCTTGAGGTTGTCCTGTGGTTTCTTTTGTTCGGGTCTCTCAGCAGGCCTGAATCCTGGCTTATCCGGCGTGTAGAACTCACCCTCTGGTCTCAGATTATCTTCGGGCCTAACCTGGGAAGGTCTTTCGCCAGGCTTGTACTTAGGTTTTTCGGGACTGTAGAATTCTCCTTCAGGCTTAAGATTATCCGATGGCTTAACTTGATCAGGACGTACCACATATTGATATTCTTCTCTTTCTACAAACGTCATTTCTCCTTCCGTACGTAGATTATCTTTTTGAATAATTCTTTCAGTTTTATCGGCCGGTTTGTAAACTTGTTTCTCAGGCTTCACGAATTCGCCTTCCGGCTTTAAGTTGTCCTGCGGCTTTTTCTGTACTGGTCTTTCAGCAGGCCTGAATCCTGGCTTCTCCGGCGTGTAGAATTCACCTTCTGGCCTTAGATTATCTTCCGGCCGAACCTGGGAAGGTCTCTCACCAGGTTTGTACTTCGGTTTCTCGGGACTGTAGAATTCGCCCTCGGGCTTGAGGTTGTCCTGTGGTTTCTTTTGTTCGGGTCTCTCAGCAGGCCTGAATCCTGGCTTATCCGGCGTGTAGAACTCACCTTCTGGTCTCAGATTATCTTCTGGTCTAACCTGGGAAGGTCTTTCGCCTGGTCTGTATTTTGGTTTCTCGGGACTGTAGAATTCTCCTTCAGGCCTAAGATTGTCCGATGGTATTTTTTGCTCTGGTCTCTCAGCAGGCCTGAATCCTGGCTTCTCCGGCGTGTAGAATTCACCTTCTGGCCTCAGATTGTCTTCTGGCCTAACTTGTGAAGGTCTTTCACCTGGTCTGTATTTAGGTTTCTCTGGACTGTAGAATTCACCCTCGGGCTTAAGGTTGTCCTGCGGTATATTTTGCTCGGGCCTCTCAGCAGGCCTAAATCCTGGCTTTTCCGGCGTGTAGAATTCACCCTCTGGTCTCAGATTATCTTCGGGCCTAACCTGGGAAGGTCTCTGACCAGGCTTGTATTTAGGCTTCTCGGGACTGTAGAATTCTCCTTCAGGCTTGAGATTGTCTGTTGGCTTAACCTGATCAGGACGTACCACATATTGATATTCTTCCCTCTCTACAAACGTCATTTCTCCTTCCGTACGAAGGTTATCTTTCCGAATAATTCTTTCCGTTTTATCGGCCGGCTTGTAAACTTGTTTTTCTGGCCTAACGAATTCCCCGTCTGGTTTAAGATTGTCGTTCGGTTTCTTTTGAACAGGCCTTTCTGCAGATTGAAATCCTGGCCTTTCGGGAGTATAAAAGTCACCTTCTGGTTTAAGATTATCAACTGGACGCACTTGAGATGGACGTTCGCCTGGGCGATAACTTGTCTTTTCAGGACTATAGAATTGACCCTCTGGTCTTAAGTTATCCGTTGGCTTAACTTGGCCCGGTCGTGTAACATATTGATATTCCTCTCTCTCCACAAAGGTCATTTCTCCTTCAGTTCGCAAGTTATCACTTCTTATTATTTTTTCAGGCCTTTCGGCAGGAGTATATTTGGCTTTTTCTGGTGAAGCGAATTCGCCCTCCGGCCTGAGGTTATCGACCGGCCTTTTTTGTATGGGACGATCGGCTGGAGCGTATCCCGGTTTCTCCGGCGTGTAAAATTCACCTTCTGGCTTCAGATTATCCTTGTGTCGCACTTGAGTTGGCCGATCTCCAGGTTGATACTTAGGTTTTTCTGGACTGTAAAACTCGCCTTCTGGCTTTAGATTGTCTGTGGGCTTAACATATCCCGGACGAACAGTGTATTGGTATTCCTCCCTCTCTACGAAAGTCATTTCTCCTTCTGTGCGGAGGTTGTCGGTATGTACAATCTTATCACGTTTTTCTCCCGGCTTGTATGGCTCCTTCGGAGGAACTATAAAGTCTCCCTCTGGTCTTAAGTTGTCTTCTGGTTTCTTAATGACTATATAGTCCACTAGAATGTCTTCGTTTTGCTTGGGAATGTTTCCATTATCTTTTTTCGACCATGTATTCGTACGTATCCTTGTATATTCTTCGTCAACGTTATCTGTAAAAGTTACAAGGGGTTAACTTTTTAAACTTTATTTATGCAATTACACTTACCATCGGTTTGAATAACCGTATTTTCTGTTGATTTCGTTGTACTGCTTGAGCAATGGTGTCGCCTAAAATAAAGAGGCTATTAGGATAACAACTTATGTACGAGGACACTGAATCATACCCGCATGTGCAGATTTCACAAATGCACCTTTCACTATGCGTTGTTGACTTGTTTTTTGCAACTCCTCGCTAATGATAAAAGCAAAACAAACTATTAGTAAGCTATTTTTGAGCTCTGATAAACTGATAAACTGATAAACTAAGAACGTGGTTCTTCTGAACTGATGAACTAGATTACCAGAAATGTTTAGTTTCGTTGCTTAACTAATCTACTCACGGTTTTTGAGTCGTTTAGGCGTTGCTTATCAGTGCGCACATAATCGATTTCATCATAAATATTTTCGGTAATATTTTTGTGCTTCGATGTCTCCTTCAGGTTCAGGGTTATGTTTTCGTTGTTCTCAGATATCGAGGTGTTCTTCTCAATCTCCACAAACTCGTCCACGTAAATGGTCTTTTTGGGAGCCTCTACGATCTTCTCAATAACATCTGTGTGCACCTTCTCGTCCAGAACGCGCCAGTCGTTGATGCTCGCATCGAAAATCTAATTAAGAAATACCTTAGAATTAAGCCTGAACACACACCCAGTGCTCGAAGTGTTCGATGGCATTTGGGAGAGTCCAAGGAACGCCCACACGCGGGCACGCACAATCACCGACTTACCTTCGTCACCTCCGTTGTAGTCGTTATGTTTGCAACATCGGTATTATCTTTCTCGATTTCACGAGCAATGTCATTGGGCACAAAAGCTTTCGTATCAGTGAACGACTTCTCGTCCACAACAGTCCACTTGCCGAGCTTCGTGTCGTACACCTTGGTGGTGTATGTGGTTCTTGTTGTGTTAATGACATCATCGACTATTTCGGGATAGCCCGTGTCGGCGGTGCTGTCCACCGTCCGTTCTTCCACTACGCGCCACCGGTTGTTGCGTCTGTCGTATATCTTCTTCTTGTACGTTACTTTGGAGGTGCCATCGGACTCCTTGCTGACATACCGCTCGAAGGTCGGCCGGGTCTTACTGGGTCCTTGAGAGCTGCCATCGCTGTACTCCGTCCAGGTTTTGGTCTTCACATCGAACACCTCCTTCTTGGACGATGTCTTCGATTGCTTGCTACTGGTGGAGCTTTTCAGCACTGAACTCTCGCTGACCTCTTTGCTGGACTTCTGGTCGACCATCGACGACGATGACGTAGCTCTGTCTACAGCTGTGTCAGCACTGGCCACTTCCAGTTTATCGTTGCGTCGCGTCGATGACGTCCACTTTGTTGTGGTCGCGCCAGACGACGCGGCAACCGGTTCGGGGTAGCCGTGCGACGTCACCGATGCGGGAGCATCAGCTGTTCCGCTCATTGCCAGCTTTGGCACGCTCTGAGATTCGCTCAAATTGCTGCTGCGGCTGCCGCTGGTGTTGATGTTGATGTTTGTGCTTGTGCTTGTGCTGCTGCTGCTGCTGTTGTTGCTGGTGGTGGCGGCGTTTGTCACTGTCTTGGTGTCTGTATTGAAGCCAACCTGTTTCCTCGGCCCGGATGATGTCATACCGGTAGCCGTATCGGCTCTCTCGCTGGCAATCAGCGTTTCGTTGGCGCTCTGGCTGGAACTGGTTGTGGCTTGGAAGTACGAGCTGGAGCTACTGGCCTGCTGCTGCTGTTGGCTGGAAGACATCGACGAGGACGTGAACATTTTCGAGACACTACCCCCGCTGGCGGAGACGGAAAGTGTGGGCGTTGTGATCTCCACCACTTCGATGGGCACCGAGAATACTGGATCCTTCTTTTCACTTTCGAGCAGATCAATCGATGAGATGATCTGCTGATTGGCATAATCCCGCGAGATCTTGCTGCTGTACTGCTCGGACTGCAGCTGGGACTGAGATTGCTCTGTGTAGGAGGAATGCGACTGGGATGCCTTGCTCTTGCTCTGTCTGCGGCTGCTGTAGCTCCTCACTCCGGCCGCTGGCAGAGAAGCACCCGAAGTGCTGGCACCGACAGGATCACCGCCATACGTCACCGATTCGTGCTGCATGGAACTGGAGCTGTTGCTGGTGGTCAGAGTGGCGAACGCATCGGGACCCAGTTTTTTGGTAAGCTTCGTGGCCTCCGACGACGACGTTGATGTTGTGGTCGATGTGGCTGGCGGCGGCGGCGACGTTGACGTCTGCTGCTGCTGCTGCTGCTGCTGCTGCTGCTGAGACACTTGTTTCTTTTTATTGCTTTTTGATACCATTTTGCTGGCAGAGCGCTGACACAGATGAGGTAATCACCGTTTGGGAGCCGTGAGTAGTGCACCTGGCTGGACTATTGCTATTTGAATGGCCTTATCCGGCTAATTTGCGGTCGGAATTCGTTTGTTTCGTTGTTATTAATCACAATTATTGCTCGCTTCGTTGCTTTTGGCACTCGAATGGCTTTTTAATATAAACGCACGAATGAATGGGACGTGCTTGTTGGTATTTGGACTGGTGTGTGTCACATAATTTCCACGACGGTATGTCGAAATGCTTATTTTTAAATATATTTATTAGACGCACACGAACATGCGACCCATAGTTCAAGTTAAGGCACCGATACGCACACTTTGGCAACCGTTAGACGTGTGAGCAAAAAGCTTAGCACTCTCGCTCACACACACGCACACACACTTGGGAGGGGGAGAGAGTTAGGGATGCAGCGGGCTGGAGCCGATCGAGATACAGATACAGTTACAGATACAGATGCAGAGCCACAAAAATAACACCAAAACCGAGAGACTGCGGGCACTGTTCGTGTTCGGAGCACTTTTAAGATCACCAACCGTCGCGAAGCACAACTCAAAACGTACTGATCGCGTCTGGAGCTGCTTTCGACCGACTATCTGTGCGCTGCCGGCTGAAAGTGGTGGCAGCGGCGCCGGCAGAAGCGTTTTTAGTGGGCTTTCGGCCATTGGTGCGAGCGAGAGCCAGCGACGCCTTCGCAAAAGGCAAAAAAGTTAAAGCCAGGCCAGCGTAGGTTTTCGGATTCCGACGGATGCGTAGGCCGCTACAGGCGTGGATTCAAGGGGGCTGAAACTTGGGGAAAATATTTGAGACTCACTCTGTACTAACACACATCTTAGCCAAGCAAATATTAGGCAATACATTTAGGGGTATAGTCAGTAAACAAAATTCTGTGAAACAGAGTAATCTTAGTACGCCCATCGTACAATTTTCGTTTAAACTGAAAAGTTTTTTGTTTTTTCCCAAAAGTGAGTCTGAGTTCCAGATCCGCCCCTGGCCCGGTCTGCCACGAAGACTGGGTTCAATAAGCCAATAAAAACCGCACGCACACCGCATCGATCTTTTGTGAAAGTGCCAATAAAAACAAAACAAACAGATGTCTGATGTTTGACGCCCGATGCCGGCGGTCTTGCTGTTTGAGCTTGTCAGGTACACAAAACGGAGCAGCACGAACTTCCAGGGCGTGCGGCTGCGTAGCAAACAGTCTTCCAAAACGATATTGACACAAAACGCGAAATTGGCAAACCAAATTAGGCCGGGCTAACGGCTGCGTCTGTCGGATGCACAATTCAATTTGAATAACATTAGACGCCGATTAGTCAGCACATGCGGGCCATGTTTGTAGATACATTCAGAGATCGTCTAGCCGAGCGGTTGTGGCTGCGGCAGCGGCAGCGGCGCTACGTGGGCGTCTCCGGCGGAGCTGAGTAAGCCACGCTAAGATCAAGATTTATTCACCATAATGCCCGATACACTCAATAGCCCAATTGATTTATAACGGCCTTTGGGTGGGTGCCAATGAAAGGCATCTGTGGATATGTCCGAATAGGGAGTGCAATAGATTAGCTGCATAATGGATGAAGAACACCGTGTGACCTCCAAACCTTGTGTGTATACCGGGCGACTCAAGCTATCACGAAAAGCAAAACCCAATTCCTTGCTTAATTCGAGGTCTGACGTCATACGCGGCGTATGAGCAACGAGCAGCGCCACTCATTTTCATGCGAAGCCAAAAGCAATCAAAACTTGTTTGCTGGCCGGGTACACAAAATAAAATCACACAAATAGAAGTAAGACACAAATGCAAAATTAAAGTGGAAAATAAAAGCGGGCACAGTGGAGCCTGCTTAGCAATTCACGGCACACAACATTCAACATGGGCATGGGCATAAAAGTGCAACTGGATCTGGAACGAGCTACAATTTAGATCAAATGCCAATTGGGAACTATGCCACTGGGTGCAGTGCGCCGGAAAGCATGGCCACCGACTAATTAGGGAGAGACATCTACGCAGATCGCTGTATCGAGTGTGGCTATGATGACATCTCTCATCCCATCGAGTCTCCTTGGAACAGAAATTAAATTCTGAGACCGAATCATCGGCAGGGGCGTGCTCGAAATTTATGCGCAAGTTTCGGCTGTCGCATAGCCTCAAGTTCAATTAATTTTAATTCAACAATGAGCCGAAACGCACATCAAGGTAACGTGTGTCCATGTCAGCCCTTATTTGGCAATTGGCCGAAATGTCGAGATCTCCGAAAATGTATTTTTTTTACCGCCTGCTGCTCCAGCTCCATTGCACGATGCACTTTTAGGGCGACTTGCAAACGACATTCTCTTAAGCCCGAATACCCGAATCCGAAAACGTATTCAATCGATGCCCATATGGGCATGAAGAGGAGCCCAGTCACGTAGCATGGCGAATATATTATATTGCTCACTTGTACCTCAAAAAATTATAAGCAATTAAAAGCCATGGCGGTGAATGAATTGTAATGACTACTGGTAGCTGCGCATGTTGGACATTCTCGACGTGCTCGAGCCTATCCGACTATCCGGTTGGGGCAGAAACTCTAACACATACATGTATGTATCTAATTTCCACTTGGGGACACGTACGGAAACAGTGCCTAATATCTTCCCTTAGCCAAAACAATTAGGCAACTTCTTTTATCTTATCTGACTTAAGCTTCGCCTTGACACTCTACAAAATTTGCATACAAGCTTTGTACTTTGTGATACTTTGCTTTCAACATTCCTTAAGTACCTCAATATTTTGCTGCTGAGCAATTGCAATTGAGTTGACTCACAGTCAATATGGAAAATATTTGCGATTCTTTGTTTAATCAGCAAATCTATAAATAAGATGTTCATTCATATTTGACAAAAGAAAGTTCCTTGGGCAATACACTGCGTGACAAAACGGCAGGTTCAACTAATTCTGATCTCTTCCATTTAAGCTAAAGGAACTTGGTTTAAATAAAACAGTTTTCCTTTTAAAACATAGTGGTAAAATGATTACATCATTTCCAATTTTATGAACCGCAAGTTCTATGAAAAGATAGTACACTCAATGTTCACTGCTTGGCGGGTTAATAAAATTGGACAGATAAGATCCCCTTAAAATTTGTACGAAGCGTGAACATTGTCCAGTCCATTAAGTCCATTTAGCAATGATTGCAATTACACGTTGGTTTGTTTATTATAATTCATATTTTTCCTTTTGTATTTCTTTAAGGCTTACATATTAAAATATATGCTTAGTGTAGGTTCATTATTTATTGTTTCATTTATCCGATTACGATAATTACCAATTATGTTCCGTCTGCTTCAACTCGCTCCTAAGTCTTAATGTAGATTTTTTACAGTGTGATATACGTCGCCAAGCGTGCATTGGATGATGTGGGTCGGTTATAAGAGTGTCTGTTCTTGTTAGCTGCTTCTTGTGTTCTATTTGCATTGAATAATTTGTAAGTTTCTCGTTTGCTAGATTGTGATTTTGGGTTGTCAAACAATTGCAGTCATCTACGTTAAAAATTTTCACTCGCCTCTCGTGTTGGTTATCTGTGTTAGCTAGTCTTTGTGCCAGGCACCTACTCCACATTCCTTAGACCCCAGACTCCAACTGGAGTGTCTGCGCTTATTTAGACCTGTTCTGCATTTGCTTGGGCTTGCAGCTAGCTCCGGTTTCTGTATGTACATTCGAAAAGTGCTGCACCAACGCGATGCTGGGCAGGAATAGCCAGACCCAAGTGCACGCCCACGATGGGACCACGCAAACACCCACGTCCGGATTCGGGCAGCTGGTTACGTATTCAAGTGCAACGCATACTAGTGCCTAGTACTATCCATAGTCGTCTACGTTTCATGTTAATATGTATACAGTTTACACTTAAGCATAAATATTTTTCGTCTATTTGAATATAAGTTTGTGTATAAGTTGTGTTATTAAAACTCGTGTAATGCGTAAAACCAATTGAACGTAACGCTTTAAAACTTGCAACTCATACAGGTTGTTGTTTTAGATGCGACCAAGGCATCGCAAAAATTAACAGATACTTTCTATACGTAAACCTATATATGTCTGTATATATATTATATAAGGTGTGTTCATGTCTGTAACGCTAGTTAACTTTTATGTGTACAATGCGATCACTTAACCGCTAACCTAAGGCTAACTAAAATATTACATTTAAGGGAATCGCTTACGACGCATACGCCCCACTCCGATGACCGCTCTGGTAGGGATCTGTCTGCCTGTCCACGTCCAAGTGTGCTGGTGTTCCGTTATGCGCTGATGCTGTTGCTACTTTTGTGTTGCGGCTGTTACTTTTGCTGTTGCACGTTCCATGTATTTACAAGTTATCTGAATTTATTACTCCGCGCTCATGTCCGCCTGCTCCTGCTGCTGATCTTCAGGCAACACATTGCGGCAGATCTCGTACTTGATTACCTTTCCGTGAATCTGGCCATCAGGCATTATCTGCACCTGCACCTGCTGCTGTTCGCTGGCAGTCGCCAGTTGCTGCTGGGCGGCGGCCTCCTGTAAAAGTGGGGAAGGACAAGCAGGTTTAGCTTCAGCCAGTAAAAGACTTTCGGCCGTGGCAGCCTCTCAACTAGACTAGACGTCTATATATGCAGAAATAATATCAACTAAACTAAAGATTACGCTCAGGCAAAGAGGGAACAAGCAGCGTGTTGCACGCTTCGAAGATAGGGAATAAGAATAGGAATGCACAAAATTTAAAGATCATAGGGAAGATACAGGGTAGACGCAGGCAGAGTCGACTATAATTAGGTTTATCTCAAGCATACGACAAACAACAAATTAAACAGCAAAATCAACGAAAGACATACGTAAATCATGATATATAGTAACACTTATAGACAATTAGCGATAATTTGGATATGTCATACACACCTAAACGCGCAAACTGAGGCCTTTGAATGGAATTTGATTTGATACTATATGATTAGCTTGTATTCATTGCAGAGTTATGGGTTTCTTTTAATTTATAGATTTGGTAAGAGACACGCATAGACAGACACACCTTCACATAGGCAGACACACCCGCACACACACACATCTCACACAGATCCGAACGGAATGGATCAAAAGTCTCCAGTAGCTTTCGCATCTGAGTTTGGATTTACATTCAAACATGTGAGTGTGCGCTTGTGCAAATGGATGTCGCTCGAGTTGGTTTTCGTTTGATTAGGTTTTAATGTTCATTTGTGGTTTTATTTATCTTTTTTCAGTTTTTCTGTTTCGTTTAATTCTTAGTAAGAAGTAGTTGGTACAACAAGCTGCAAAGTATTGGAAAAGGTAATGCGATTATGTTTCAGATTGGTTTCATTTGTTCAGTGGTACATATATAGATGGATAAATGGGCGGGCATTGCTGATTAAAGTAGACGCAAAACAAGTGGGACATTTATCTTAGAGTACGCTAATTCGGTTCGCCGCTTCCCGACTGACTGACAAAGCCTTATAAGAATGCCAATAAGAATCGTTTATTGTTGATTTGATAACATTGTTTAAGTGCTTAGTATTTTACATGAACGTTAGGACCGCCTAACTTACTCCCAACTAGAATTAGACTTAACTCTA